AATCATTGAAGAATGAGTTATCACAGTCCTTTGACATGAAGGACCTAGGCCCTGCATAGCAAATTTTTGGCATGAAAATTATGCGTGACAAAAAAGTCAAGAAGTTATGGCTGTCACAGGAGAGGTACGTTGGTGATTGAGAAGTTCAGCATGAAAGATGCCAAGCCAGTCAGTACTTCGTTGGCTAATCATTTCAAGCTGAGCAAGAGTTCTTGTCCCTCCTCTACAAAAGAAAGAGAAGAGATGGAGGCTATTCCCTACTCATCTGCCGTAGGGAGTTTCATGTATACAATGGTGTCCACCCAACCAGATATTGCTCATGCTGTTGGAGTAGTAAGTAGATTCATTTCTAATCCAGGGAAGAGCATTGGAAAGCAGTCAAGTGGATTCTGAGGTACCTCAAGAGTACGAAAAAAAATGTGTTTGTGCTTTAGAGATGCTAAACCAGTCTTGGAAGGCTATACGGATTTAGATATGGTAGGAGATCTTGACGGTAGAAGATCTACATTAGGATTTCTGTTCACTTTTGCAGGGGGAGCTGCGTCTTGGCAGTCCAAGCTGCAAAAGTGTGTTGCGTTATCCACAACCGAAGCAGAGTATATTGCCGTAGCAGAAGCTGGGAAAGAGATGTTGTGGTTAAAGCGGTGTCTCCAAGAGTTGGGATTAAAGCAAGAAAAGTTCACGGTACAGTGATAACCAAAGTGCCACAGACCTGAGCAAGAATTCAATGTATCATTCTCGCACAAAGCACATTGATGTTCGGCATCATTGGATATGTGAAGTGATGGAAAAGCAGTTATTGGAACTGATCAAGATCCACATAGATAAGAATCCAACTGACATGCTTACAAAGGTGGCCTCGAGAAACAAACTCGAAATTTGTAGAGACATTGTAGGGATGAACTTTAAGTGAGAAGTCAGTCATGCAAATGGGTGTGGAGGGGGAGAATTGTTAGATCTAACCTTACATGCATGCAAAGCAAAGATGACGTAAGAAGATTTCCACCTCAAGAGAAAGAGGTCTGAGCTGGGCATCTCCCTTCTCTTCACGTTGTTGCCATTGTTGACACTCACCATTAAGAAGGTAGAATTTTTTGGTGGGTTGGTATATATCTCTCTCTCTCTCTCTCTCTCTCTCTGTGTATAAATAGAGACGGGAGGGAGAGGATGAATTGTATCAGAAATTTGAGAGATAGAGAGCTGTGAGTTGAGTGAGAGTTGTTCTCCCCCTCTAATTTGTATTTGCTCTGTTTTAGTGAATTTCTCGTTTTTGTCCGTGGACGAAGGCATTGGGCCGAACCACGTAAATATTTGTGTTTCCTTGTGTGTGTGATTGTTTGTTGTTTATATTCTGAGTGTCCATGAACCTAACACTTTTTGCCTCCACTGATCCAAAAAAAAAAAATTTGCCTCCATGAAGATTGGCTTAAATGCTTGTGCATTAGTGAGAATCAATTAATGAATTGAGAGATCTGTGATGAAATGCAAGTGTAGAATAGGAGGAAGAGACTGAGACAAAAATAATATAATTGATTAATTGAATAATGTAATTACACTTGTGTTATTTTATTTGTTCTGACAATTTGAAGGGTGAACAACCAGAAGAGAAATACAGATTTGAAGTCAAAATCACTCCTATGAAAAGTAAAGTGCAGAGCAAAGAGTAAACAAGAAATTGATACATGTATGATTTATTTGGGGGCTTTCTCTGTTATTCTTTCCAGTTATTTATAGATGTCCTTCAAATCCACAAAAACCGTCACGATCTCCACCATTTTGACTACATTTGTGGGTTCTTCCCTTAGCTTTGAATTCAAATTCTGAAGTGCATTACTTGCTTTTTCGTGGCTCTCCAAAGACAGTTAACTTCTTCGAGATCTTAACATCTAATTGCAACTTAAAACCAACGGCGAATTACCACATGGTGCTCTTATAGCCCTCCACTTGTTTCTTCCCCAATGTACTACGTGCCTCCTCTTAGGATTGTTTGATACATGCATGCATGAATTGCTATGTTTTGAAGTCTAATCTTTAGTCTCAAAGCTTGTAAATGCATGATATAGAACATGAACTATAAGTGTATCGAGTTTACGGTTCGAATTTTGTTAAATCCATGGAATTGTGAACTATGGGTTGAGTTAACTTCAAATATATGTATTTGGGAGTGTTCTTGCATATTTGGGGTGAGTCAAGCATGAAATTGGGCCCTTGAATGTGTGTTTGCAGTTCAAACAAGATTCTGGAAAACCCAAAATTCGTGCAGGTCGCTCGAATGAAGAAACTGTCGCTTGAGCGTTAAATGCAAGCTCCCAGAAGTTTTGCAAAGAATTGCACGGTAACTCGAGCAGCAAACCTTGTGCTCGAGCGAACCCTGCTTTGCGTGGCTCGTCGCTTGAGCGATAGAAATCTCACTCGAGCGTAAAATTTATGCAACTAGTACTTTTACAGAGTTTCATAGACTGCTCGAGCGACCAAAGTGGCGCTCGAGTGAGGTGCCATGTTTCAGAATTTTTGAAAAGCTGCATTATGCTCCAATTTCCGTTCTTTTCCATTTCTGAGTATTCTTAGGCACACATTGAGCATCCTAAATGAATTAAAGGACACGAAAGAAGCCTAAGAACATAAAGCAAACTAAAGAACATATTGAATTGTATTATGACCTAATGTGTTATGAATTATATAGGGTCAAGTGTAAGGACAAATCAAACACCGGAATACTGTGAGTAATATCTTAGCAAAGATAATTTGTGTATATATTATTTCTAAATGTTACCTGTGTGGTAAGTTTCTAACTTCTGATTTGATATTGTGAATGAGTATTCTATCCACTTGGTTCGCAATGAAATATGTGAAATATATGAAGTATTGATAAAAGACTATGAAATGGGCACAAGACTGTTCGGTTTACTTGAAGAAGATATAAAATGGGCCTAAGGCCGTTTTGTATAACTGTGAAATGGGCCAAAGGCCATTTCGAATAAAGAAATGATTGGACCTAATGTCGTTTTCAATGCGAAGGTGAATGTGAACATGATCATGGATCATGAGTGCGCACAAACGTGAATATGGATGGTTGGACCTAAGGTCGTTTTGTACATGAATTGGACCCAAGGTTGTCTTACATATGATGGACCCAAGGTCGTTTCGCATATATTGGAACGAAGGTCGTTGTGCCTATGAATTGGACCCAAGGTCGTTCTGTATATAAAGGACCAAAGGTTGTTTTGCAAATACGAGTTGGACCCGAGGTCGTTTGGTATATGAATATGGACATGATATATGATGTGTTGGACCTAAGGCCATTTTGCGTTGATATCGATCAACAAGTTTAGTTTATAACTTATTATTAAACGAATCTCATTCATGAACTCCTTTACTTTGGTATTATTCACTGGGCGTTAGCTCACTCCTCTATTTATATGTATGTAGGTGAGCAGCGGGATGTCTAGCTCCAGCCCTAGTGAGCAATGAGAAACCGAGTTTTGAGGAGTCAACCAAGATCACCTCATGCAAGAGGCCTTACTTTTGTTTTGCTTTTCCTTTTGTTCTTTTGTGGTCACGTATGACCAAATCTGTGTATAACCTTGGTTCTTGTTAATATTAAATTTTGAATGATCCTGGACTTATGTAATACATTCATAATATGAATGCTTGTATAGTGTGAGTTATTACACATATGAGAATGTTTTGATTGAGCCATGTATGCACAGCTAATTGGACAATCTTTGTAAATTTTGCTTCCGTAATTTGGCTCCCTATTATTAAATGTGATTTGATTCTTGACTGAGGCCGTAGGTAGTCTCATGATTACTAGCCAGTTATGACTCTAACCCATAGGGGCGGATTTGGGTCATGACAGAGTGGTATCAGAGCACGAGTAATAACTCACACACCTGTCCAAATGAGCAATAGAGTGTCTAGAAAGATCTAAGTTGCATTCATATGATAAATATATGCTTGAATGCATTGAGAAATTGCCAAGTGACTCGAAGTATGCAACTGTATGATATATAACTATTGCCTAATCGTATGAATGTGCTCTTTCTGTATATGAATATTGTGTCTATCTTCTGTATGAATTATAATGCAAGTTTCATTAGATAATGGCGAAAACAAGAACTGATGAGCTAAAATAATCTTCCACTGCTCGGCTAGACCGAATGAAGAGAATGATGCAAGATATGGCAGAAACACTAAGGTAACAACAGCAGTGGCAACAACAATAGCAACCCCCGCAACCCCCACCTCCAATACAACCTATACCGGATTTGCAGAATGATGACCGAACAATAGCTCTCACTAAGAATTCAAGAAAATGAAGCCACCATCGTTCCACGGGGGTGTGGACCCATTGAAGGCCGAAGCTTGGGTCCTTGGTATTGAGAAGTTTTTTAAAGTATTCCCATGCCTGGAGACACAGAAAGTACAATTAGCCACCTTTACATTGGAAGATGAAGTAAGAAGGTGGTGGATGCTAATCCGTGATGATAACCAGGGCATTGATTGGGGTACAGTTTCTTGCACTCTTTTATGAGAAATATTTTTCACAGTGTGTCCGTGATAGAAAGGTGTCGGAATTTGAAGGACTGAAGCAAGACAATCTGACTGTAGCTGAGAATGAAGCCAAGTTCACTGAATTGGCTAGATTCGCTCCACATATGGTTGACACTGACTATAAAAAAGCGAGAAAGTTTGAAAATGGTCTTCACAATGACATCCTGGAAAGGGTGAATCTGTTAAAATTGCCCATTTATGTTGATGTGCTAGATCAAGCTTTAATGTCAGAAATTAACATGGCCAACTAAGGTAAACCACCAGTTGACTGGAAGGCTAAGAGGCAAGGCTTGTTCTCAAGGAACAAATTATCAAAGAAACAAAACACGGGGTCCTCAAGCACTTTGTGCTCCACTAGAAATACGGCACCAACATGAACTCAATGTGATAAGAAACATTGCGGGGTTTGTTTCCGTATTTTCGGGGCGTGCTATAGATGTGGTGAAATGGGGCATATGGCAAGGGATTGCACCCAAACTGAACAGCAAAAAGGTGGGAAACCAGCTGTTGGTTCAACCGGATCCATCCCAAAACTGGGTGATACTACGAGGCCTGCTACTACCAAGGACACAATAAGACAGGGGAGAGTCTTTGCACTTGTCCCAGGTGATACACGGAATACTGAAGCTGTTGTCTCAGGGACTATTTCTATATGCAATCAAGACGCTTTTGTGTTAATTGATTTCAGCTCAACGCATTCCTTTGTGTCTACTATATTTGCATCTAGATTGACTAGACCCCTAGAGTCATTGCCATATTTGTTATGTTTATCTGCTCCATCTGAAGAATTTGTATTATGTACATTTGTGTATCGTGTTTGTGATATGCGAATTGGCAATGCTATTTTATATGTGGATTTGTTATCCTTGGACATTCGACACTTTGATATAATTCAAGGTATGGATTGGTTGTCGAAATATTGTGTTACTATCAATTGTGTAACAAAGCAGGTTGTGTTTAAACTGCCAGGGCATGTTGAATTTGAATTTGTGAGTAATGGGGTACTGCCTCCACCTTATCTGATTTCAGCAATGAAAGCATGTAAACTGCTTAGGAAAGGGTGCTAGGGTTATTTTTGTAGTATCTTGACTGAACAAGCTGTGAATGTTGAAATGGATAGTATCTCCATTGCTAGAGAATTTCCGGATGTATTTCCTGATGAACTGCCAGGGGGATTGGTTGTCGGAGAAATAGAGTTTACCATTGATGTTGTCCTAGGCACCCAGCCTATCCCAAAAACCCTCTACAGAATGTCTACTGCTAAAAAGAAAGAACTAAAAGAACAATTGCAAAACCTACTTGACAAAAGGTTCATCCGACCAAATACTTCGCCATTAGAGATGGCATTCGAGACCCGGCCCGACGGGGACCCGACCCCCCGACCTCGAATTGAGTTATTCCCCGAAAAATACTCCTGATGGGCTGGGGATGGTATTAAAAAATGAATCCCCGATGATATTCGGGCCGGGGACGGGGATACATGTTTCAGCCTCGGACTCGGCCCGATCCTCGCCCCACTCCCACCCCGAATATTCCCTGAATAATTCCCTAATATTCCCCATATATCTATATGTTTAGGGTTATTTGAGCCTTATTTTCAGCCTCTCTCGTCTCTCCCACTCACACACTTATCTTCTCTCAAACTCTCCCTCTCTCTATCTGCTGGAGGTGCTCCCATCACCACCGATCTCCCTCTTCCTCCTCCATTGTCTTTGGCAAGAGAGAGCTGTTGATTTCTTGCAGATCTTACGAGTTGATTGTAAGGATCGGATCACGGAAATGGGATGAGAGAGAAAATGAAGGTTGGCTAGTGAGAGATCTCAGATCTGTGTTGATCTATTGTGCCATAAAGATGTGCCATGGAGGGCTTCTCTCTCTGGTGGAAAACCCATCCCCAAAATCCACCACTCTCCTGTTCTTCGTCTCTCCCAAACCCCTCATTCCAATTACGCCCTTTCTATCATGAAGCTCTCTCTCTCTCTCTCTCTCTCTCAATAAGCTTATTTATGGTATTGTTTTCTGGGTCTTGAATGATAATTGTTTTATTTGTCTCTTGTTATCTATATGAACCAGCATGTGAGTATGTTTGTGTCGATTTGTATAAATTTTATAATGGGTTTTGATAACTTTTTGAATTTATGGGTGTTTTGGATGGAAATTTGCAGCACCCAAATCCAATTGGAAGTGGGTTAGGAAACGAAGCTATAGTGGAAGCAGCAGGGCCAGATTGTATTGCGCCTGGACAAATTACACCCATTAAATTGATTTTGTTGATGGTTTGATGTATTGAATTGGAGCTTAAACACACTCAGAAACACACTCAATTTTTTTTTGTATTTGATGTATTTGATCTGTAAGTTATACACAAGACTTCTATATTACTGTTTTTTTTTTTTTTGGACTGGAGAATTTTTGGGTCGGGGAAACTCGATCCCCGTTAGGGGGCGGAGGCGGAGACGGTGATAGGTTCCCCGTCTGGGATTGGGGCCGGGGACGGGGAAATTTTCACCATCGGGGATCGGGGACGGGGAGTGTGATCCCCGACCCCGCCCTGTCCCGCCCCGTTACCATTCCTATTCGCCATGGGGTGCACCGATATTATTTGTGGAAAAGAAAGATGGGACTTTACGCCTATGTATTGACTATTGGAAACTGAACAAGGTAACGATAAAGAATAAATACCCTTTACCTTGTATTGACGACTTGCTTGATCAGTTGCAGGTCTCACAAGTATTTTCTAAAATTGATTTGAGATCTAGGTACCGCCAGCTGAAGGTAAAGGCACAAGATGTTGAGAAAACCGCATTCAAAACGAGATATGGTCAAAACGAATTTCTTGTTATGCCGTTTAGAGTGACTGATAGCCCTGCAACATTTATAGATCTTATGAATCGAATTTTTAAGCCTTACCTTGATGAATTTATTGTGATTTTTATTGATGATATTCTGATATATTCAAAGAGTAGACTTGAACATGAACAACATCTAAGAACCGCCTTGTAAGCACTTAGAGAAAAGAAATTATTTGCTAAATTAAAGAAATGTGAATTTTGGTTGGATGAAGTTGTTTTCTTACGGCATGTCATCAACAAAGATGGGATTTCAGTAGACCCACAGAAGATAGAAGCAATTGTGAACTGGCCTACGCCAACCAATGTGACGGAAGTCCGCAGTTTCATGGGCTCAGCTGGGTACTACAGGCGATTTATGAAAGATTTTTCAAAAATAACGATACCTCTTACCCAACTTACATGCAAAAGACAACCATTTGAATGGAGTGATGAAAGAGAATCTGCCTTCCAAGAGCTGAAAACAAGATTGACTATTGCACCAGTGTTAACATTGCCCACAGGTACGGAAAATTTTGTGATTAATAGTGATGTATCTTATAAAAGTCTGGGTTGTGTATTAATGCAGGAAGGACGGGTAATTGCTTATGCCTCCTGACAATTAAGACCACATGAGAAGAAGTACCCAACACATGATCTGGAATTGGCCGCAGTTGTATTTGCTTTGAAAATTTGGCTACATCACTTGTATTGGGCGAAATGCGAAGTCTACACGAATCACAAAATTTTGAAGTGCTTCTTTACTCAGAAAGAGTTGAATATGCGGCAAAGAAGATGGCTTGAACTAATAAAAAATTATGATCTTCAAATTCAGTATCACCCTGGGAAAGCCAATACAGTTGCTAATGTCTTGAGTAGAAAATCGACGGGGGGTTTAGCTTGCCTACTTACTGAACATAAGGAAATCTTGCAAGATTTTGAGAAATCTAGGATTGGAGTAGTATTACATGAGCAAAGCAGATTGATAGCTGCCATTTCAGTCGAACCAGCAATCATCGATGAGATCAAGCAGAAACAAGAGGATGAATTCCTCAAAAAGATAGTTGATGAATTTGAAGCAAATCCGAAACCGGGATAGTGTTGTAAATGAAGTGTTGAAATTCCAAGACAGATTGTGTTAAATATTCCCGAGTTAAAGAGGAGAATTCTCGATGAAGTCATAAATCGATGTTTGCTATGCATTCGGGTAACAAGAAGAAGTATCAGGACTTAAAGCAGAGTTATTGGTGGCCAAACATGAAACGTGAAATTGTAGAATGTGTCTAAATGTCTTCAGTGTCAGCAAGTTAAGGCTGAACATCAAAAACTGGCAGGTCTACTTCAACCTCTCCCTATTCTGGAATGGAAATGGAAGCACATAACCATGGATTTTGTTGTTGGCCTGCCTCAGACACCTAGAGGTATGGATTCTATTTGGGTTATAGTTGATAGACTGACTAAATCTGTACATTTTCTGCCTGTGAAAACCACGTATGATGCATATAGATTAGCCACTATTTATGTTGATAAAATTGTTTGTTTACACGGAGTCCTGGTGTCTATTGTGTCGGATAGAGATCCGAAAGTCATATCTAGATTCTGGAAAAGTCTTCAAGCGACAATGGGAATAGAGCTGAGGTTTAATACAACATTTCATCCACAAATCGATAGACAATCAGAATGGACTATACAGACTCTAGAGGATATGCTCAGCATGTGTGCTTTGGATTTTCAAGGGAGTTGGGAGGCTTACCTACCATTGGCTGAATTTGCGTATAATAACAGTTTCCACTCCAGTATTGATATGGCACCATATGAAGTTTTGTATGGCCGAAAATATAGATCTTCGATATGCTGGACTGAAGTTGGGGATAGGGTCATGCTTGGACTTGAGCTTGTGCAAACAACTACCGATAAAATCAAAGTTATTCAACAAAGGCTTAAGACAACTCAGAGCCGACAAAAGAGTTATACGGACGTTAGAAGAAGGCCCCTTAAGTATGAGGTTGGTAATCATGTGTTCATCCGTGTGAATCCAATGAAAGGACGATTAAGATTCGGTAAAAAAGGTAAATTACCACCCCGTTACATTGGACCGATTCAAATTCTAGAGAGGCTTGGTCCAGTTGCTTATAGGGTTGCTTTGCTACCAGGAATAGAACAAATGCACAATGTATTCCACGTATCAATGTTGAGGGGCTATCTCCGAGATCTATTCCACGTAACTGATTATCACCGCATAGCACTTGACGAAAACATGGAGTACGGGGAATGGCCAGAACGGATTATTGACTGACAAGTAAAACAGCTGAGAAACAAATCCATTCCAATGGTGAAAGTGGAATGGAAGAAACATTATGGAAATGATGCCACGTGGGAAAATGAAGAAGAGATGCGACAACACTACCCACATTTGTTTCCGGCAGAACGTAACATAAATTTGGGCGACCGTACTTCCTAAAGGGGGAAAGAATGTAACAACCTTGCTCTATGATATACTATTAATTGTTAACTATACTTGTGATTATATGCTTGGTCTGAATTTGCATACTAATTATGTGATTAGATGTGATTTCGAACTTATATCTGTCCACCGTAGAGAAATCTATTTGCTTTTCTGCTATAATTTGAAATTGAAGGCCGTAGAGGCTACAGAAACCGAAATTGACTGCGTTATTGCAATTAGCGTAATTTTTAGAGCCTACGGTGAGATTTAATTAAAAGTTGATTCGGATTGAATAAATTACATTAAATTGATTAAATTAAGCACAATTAACTAGTTCTAATTAAGCTTGATTAGGGAAGCATATATATAGAAGCTAAATGTGCTTAAGCTCATTTCTTGAGCTCAAAATCTGAGGTGTACAATTTAGAGAGGGTGAGAAGGGAGGATTAGAGAGAGAGGGAGCTCAACTTGGAGGTTTTGCTTGGTGATTGAAGAATTGGAAGGCTTAACTCAAGAACTGGCTAAGTTCTAGAAGATTGAAAGGTTCTAAGTAAGTAATTGAACCCTCATTCATGAGTTTAAGCTCATAAAAATATGAATTGAAAATGAGTTTGTAGCTAAGATCATGAATTGAGCTAAGATGATAGGAAACATGATCAAGATGTACATGCATGTAGAAATTTGCCATAAATCTTCATATTTGACCATATAGCATGTTAATCATGTGGAATTAAGGATTGTTTGATACATGCATGCATGAATTGCTATGTTTTGAAGTCCAATCCTTAGTCTC